GATAGACAATAGATAGATAGACAGACAGGTAGATAGTCTGTGGGAATCTCATTGAGGGTAGGAACCGAGAAGACTATAGTTTTCCAACACTTGGGAAAAGGAACTTTTCTCAACAATTTCCCTAGATCTCAGCCAAAGAACATACATACAAGAACATTTTCCATTTAATCCTGGTCCTGGGCCTAAAGAGGTCTTATTTGAAGCCACCATTTCTTTGCCAAGAAATGGAGTCAACTGTGCCACTGTTTCCAATTTTGCTGAAACTCATTCACAGCAATGATCGCTCCTGAGCCTTTGCACTTGGGATTATCAATCTTCTGTTTTAAAGAAGGTTCACATAGCAAATTCAGAGTGTGCTATAGTGAAAGAATTACTTTGGTCAAAGGAGTTTGATTCTTGTCATTGAAGTTATACTGGACTGATTTATGGATGTAGTTTAAGAATAATTTTCAAATATAGATTGGATAGAAAGTGGATTTATGTGGATGCTGGGATTCTCAGAAATCTTTACTTTCTTCCCTATCTTTCTAGAATTCTAAACTTACACTATGAATATTTTTTTTAACCAACAACATAATGTATTATACTGGCCTCAAACTTACCCTAAAGTTTTTGCAATGTTTTAGAGTAGTATCTTTAAGTAACTATGGAAATATAAAGGTAAGTAAGGTTGACTGTATTTACTTAAAATGTAATTTATGTGTTGACTTATCATATTAATAATGCCAGGGGATTTCATTATATCTCCGTACATGTCTACAGTGTATCTTGAAGAAGTTCACCCCCTCCATTATATTTCCTTCCCCTTCTCCTCTTTGCCCCTCTGCCCCCCTCTTCAAATTTCATTGTGCTATATTCATATGGCTATGTATAGCATACTTCAGAGACATGAATGTCAATGTTCATGCTTAATCTTCCACAGGAATAGATAATAAGCAGAGTTTTCCAGCTATGGAAACTTTGTTTCACTGAACGTTCACTATACCAGCAGATAACTCTAAGAAAATTGGGTAACTGGTGAGGGAAATATGTTAGAAGGGAGAAAATGGAAAGAGTTGGTTCTCTTCTAAGTAGCCACCCCCCTCCCAGAACTGTAAAGGAAGCGGAATTTCAAGTAACTGCTTTCCCTTCTTATGGCCACACTCACCCTGTTCTCTTAGCAATTGACTGTGTATTGTGGTCCCTCACAGGCGTTCTTCAATGTGTGCTTTAGAGTTCTTTTTCTGTTTGGAGGTGAAAGAGGAAGAAAAATATAGACCGATAGTCGGAAATTCTTTCAGGATACATAGGTGAGGAGAGTGTGTAGTGAGGAGGGCATTTTAGAGAGTCACGATGGGAGCTGTACATCAGGGTATTTGCCTTGGAATATCCAAGTGGTAAGTGTTGAGAAAAAATCTCAGAGGTTAAATGCCTGATGAAAAATAGGACAAAAAATCTGAAGATGATGACTTTCTATGCTGAGTAAGTTTATGGACCAGTTTATATAAACCACAAAAATCAACTTTAAAAAAGTAGTTATAGTCATTTATGTAAATTGTTTTCCATTTATGCCTAATCTCTCTATGGTTACAGGAATAAGTATGCATGGCACTAAATGTTCCTAAATGTAACCATGTTTCATGTTCTATTTGTTTGGTATTATAATCTTTATAAATAGGCTTTTGGGCATTTAAAGTTGTTTTTTAAGTAGTGTGTTCAATTATTAACAATCTAAAAAAAGCAATGGAAGGAAAATTGTGAAAATATTCAATAACTAGAGACCTCATTTCTCCATGGCACTTTATCATGCCATGGTTGGTACTACATCATCTGGCAGGTGATTTTGTAAAGCTAGATATCTTGGGGATTTTTCTTAAACTCTACACTCTATTTTGTCCCACACTTAAGAAATAGATTTTGGTGATAAAGTTCTCTAAGAGAGCTGCCCCAGGCTGTCTAAAACATGTATGTGAACTAACAGGATTAGTTTGTGTTCCATAAATCAATATGCATCTCAAAAATAAAATAAAAAGGATTAACACAATGCTCGGTGTGGTGGAACATTCCTATAATTCCAGCACTTGAGAGTAGGAGGAAGGAGGATCAAAAGTCCCAAGTTAGGACTGGGCATCATGACTAGCATCTGTAATCCTGACTACTTGGGAGGCAGAGACTGGGAAGATCATCTGGTGAGACCAGGCTGGCCAAAAAGTTAGTGAGACCTACCTCAACATATCAGCATCATGGTATACATCTGTAATCCCAGGTATGTGGGAAGCATAGGTAGGTGGATCACAGTCTGAGTCTGGCCCCAGGGAAAAATGGAAAGCCTATTCTAAAAAAAACTAAAGAAATTAAAAAGGACCAGAACATGACAAATGTGGTAGAATGCCTTCCTAGCAAGCACAAGGCCCAGGTTCAAACCCAGTACCATTTAAAATATGTTTCAGGTCAATTTGAAATATCAAGCAAGACACTGTCTCACAAACAAATAAAAACATACAATTTTGATTCCACGCACAGCACTAGGTACCACAGGACATTTACTCTAACTCTTGTACTTACTTATTTGGAGAGAAAGAAAACTGAGTCTTGGGAACAAAACAAGGTTGAGTCAACTACGTTAGAAAAAGTACAATGTAAACATCTCCCCACATCAAGACCTACATCAGAAGAGAATTTAGGTACTAGTTCTCCTAGTCACACAGTTTCAGAAGCATTTAATCCAAAGAAATATATCTATAAATAAAAAGTAAATTTATTTCCAACAAAAGAAATACTTGGTATGAAAGAATTTAGAAAATATGCCCAACACTTTCATATTGTCTTCTTTTTGTGCTTTTTTTTTAAATAATAGTCACAAATATTTATCTATCATATCAGAGAAATTCTAAGGAATGGCTCCTTTGCTCTATCCAGAAGGGGAGGTGCTGAAAAAGAAAGTACAAAAAAGACTTCATTTATTATGGAATACATATTGCAGTCATTATGAATAAGTTACATAGATTTTCTTTTGTTATTTCCTTTAATTAAAACTGAGTCCTGATATTCTCAACAAAAACTATGAACTCTTGACAGAACTTAAAGAAATAGATGATTTGACAATAAAATCTAGTAAAAATTCATGTGAAGAGAGAGTGTATGACAGAGAGGTATGTGTACTAGGGAGATTCTGGAAGGCACAAGAACAAGGACTGGACTGGGTGACTGGCAGCAGAGATGCCCAACGGGCAGCTGTGCCTGTCGAGCTACACACAGTTACTGCAGTGTGTTCATGCTGAGTTTGGAAGTGAGTTCTGAGAACACCCTCTACTTCTTTTTTGTTTGTCACAATCTATATTTTCATTTTTGTCATTTAAAGGGTAGTCCCCCAAACAATGTATATACATATGAATAAATATATAAACAATTAAAAAAATAAAAATAAAGGGTAATCCCCAATAATTTTTTCCTTGTATGAAAATTCTGATGAATTATGAGCCTATGAGCATTTCAGATCTTAAGTCCTAATATTTGTTCCTTCCCATGTAAAACCTGATAATTAAGACAGCCTATGTCAAGTATGACAAAAGATCATAGTATGAATGAGAATAATAGTAATGTTTGCTTCCGCATCTGCATGCTTCATTAAAGAACTGAAAAGAGTGTGCAACACTTTCTCATTATTATTTTTTTAATCTTCAATATCCTTACGAGGTAGTGAAGGGAGGGAACAAGAATTTTCTATTTTGCCAATAATAAAACTCTAGGAGAACTTTTAGATCAATTGTTCTCAACCTTGGTAGCATACTGAAATCACCAGGAAAATTTTTAAAAATCCTAAGGTCATGGTCTTACTTATCACGAACCAACATCAGAATTGTAGAGTATGTGACCCAAGCGTAAGTATTTTTTAACACACCCAGACAATTCTTGTGTGAAAGGGCTTCTTAAAATATTTGAAAGCCAGTGAAATACTGCCCAGACACAAAACATTAGATCAGTTACTAAAGGGAATAAAATTATCTTATCAATGAAGCTGTTTACATGATGCAAGAATTTATACTGAAAGTCTTAAGTTTCCAGAGTGAATTGCTGAAGGAGACAGGCCAACTTTTGATTTTCAAAGGAATTTATTACCTCATTTATAGGATCATCTTTTTAGTGTCCTGTGCTGCCAGAGACACAAATGTACTAACAAATGAAATGAACTGCTTAAGCTACAGGATGGTTATTTCTCAGAGCTAAGGTGAAAATTACATACCCATGTTTCTCATTCTCAATCCTCAACAAATTGTTTCCTTTTATGCAAGCAATATTTTTCTATTTCTTGGTGAGTGACTGTATTTCTTTGAAAATGTGTTGAGTTGTCACAGAACTACAATAAAAATGTTTTATTAGTTTCTATTTATGCCATCAGAGGCCAATACAATAAAATCACATTGAAAGAGAAGCAGAATGTATTAAATTAACATTTTCTGTGCCACAATGTCTGCCCCATTCTCAAAACTGAAAATATTTACATAGGTTGTCATATTTTCCCCAGGGAATAATTTGGATAATTCAGGGTTGAATTTGTGCAAGAAACAAATCATTTATAAAACATACTGTTGAGACCTTAAAGAGTTAATAAAGCTTGCTAAAGCTTTCTATATACTTCCCAAGAGTACTCTTCATACCTAGAGGATCTGCCTTTGTAAAAATATTTAAACTCAAGGCATATTACTATGCTAATATATTGTTATTGCAATTTGGAGAGGTATAGTGTCATTTGAGCAAGGATGTCCATTCTTCAAGAATTCATTAAGAATCAGCTGTGTTCTCCATAAGCCTCCCAAACTGGCATATTTAGATTCTGTTCTCCATTGAAAATAATGACTGAAATTTCATGTGAAAGCAGTAAATTTTCAAGACTACACAGTGGACCAATTTTAGAAATAGCTAATCAAAGCCAATAAATCTCCCATTTGGGTGTATGAGGTGGTAAAATCTAATAAGAGCTGTTGATAGACACTCACTGGCCCCATTTCCTGCTTCATCAGAGCGTGTAACCGAAGTGAAGACCGATATTTTCGTCACCAGCTTTGGACCTGTTTCAGACCATGATATGGTAAGAGACACTGCATCTTTGGTTTCTTGGGGTACTTTTCAGATTGTTTCAAGAGAAAAATATAGACTAACTATGGTGCAACCTGGAAAAGCTGGGTTATATCTTTGTCTTTGTGTGCATAATATTTAATGTATACATAATATATATTATAGCATTATATATATATATATATAATAACTATTTGTTTCTTAGATAAGTTCTATTTCTATGGCTATTAACCTCTATATTCTTCCTTTTTCTCCATCCCTGAAATGGCAGCTTTGCCTTGGTTGATGTCCTTCAGGACATACAGTGTAAGGAATTAAGAGGCAGAGATGTTTCAAGGATGCTGGTTTTCACATAGCCACCACGGTTAGAGAACAGCTACTAATACCGTGATTTCTGAATGACCTTTGGAAATTAGTAGAAAAGTTGAGTGAATATTTGACCAGATCTAAAGAGATAAATAGTTAAAATAAAATATGCTAGTAGGAAATATTCTGCTTCCTTGCAAAAAACTTTTCCATTAAATTATTACCAATAGCTGGGTGCCCTGTGGCTTATGCCTATAATCCTAAACTACTCAGGAGGCTAAGACTTGGAGGATCGTCATTCAAAGCCATCCCAAGCAAATAGTTTGTGAGGCATCATCTCAAAAATAACCCAGAGCAAAATGAACAAGAGGTGTGGCTCAAGTGGTAGAGCACCTGCTTTGCAAGTGTGAAGTCCTGAGTTCAAAACTCAGGTCCACTCCCCAAAAGTATGACTACCAAATGTGGGAATAAAATGAATATAAATCCGGCCTTTCCTTCTGTAACATAGTAAGTTAATAGGACTTTCTAGCCTATGTGATGGAAGCTGGTAAAACAGTAGAGCTTTGCAGATATTATGTATCATTTCTGAATTTGTAACAGTCAAGCTTCTATCTAAGCACAATGTCATAAAGCAACCATGAAGACATACCACTATGAATATTTCAAAGATACACAAACTGAATACGATCTTTAAATGATTTTTTTTTTAGCACGTACTGTAAAAGTCTTCTGATTTCAAAGTAGCTCAGAGTGATTCAGAATAAAAGTTGTGGGGTTTTTCAAGTTTATAAATCAAATTCAAACATTTGTGCCTGTATTCCATGTAACCCGTGAGTTTGCTGTTACTCTTCACTTGTTCGCAAAAGGAGTTATTTACTTTAGCCATTCACAAGAGTCCTTTTTTCTGTGAGGCCACACAGCCTTGTGGATGGCAGGACTGGCTGCAGGATTCAGGCTGCCTGAACTCAATTCTGACCACCACCATGCCCCTGGCAAATCCCTTACTCTCCCAAATGCCAGTCTCTCAAATGTCTATATTGTTATAGGTGCCTATAATTACTAATTTTAAATGCTATATGCAAGCAACTTGCTTATCATGGTAAACAATAGTCATTTTTGTTTCTTCCTCTGAGTTCTTTATGTTCCCATGTACTCTTTGTGGAAATTTCTACTTCTTTAGACTCATCTAAACCCCGTATCTTACAGAGGTCCAAACTGAGATCCAACTGCTCAATTAAACCATGTTTTAAAACAATAAAAATTAAATTTCCCTTTTTTCATTCTAGTCACATTTATTGACTATAAAATACAATTTAGCTTTTAGCAATATAAGCAGTACTGCTAAGTAAAGTTACTTTTCTTACGTAAATAAATGTCTTTCCTTGAAGTGAGCCAAAAAATTGTAAAGACATACTTTCCTCACAAATTTCATAATATTACTGCATCGCGGGTGCAGATCAAGCATTGAATTACTGCTTACTTGATGGTAGATTTAAGAGCCTATATTATCATAAAAATTTGAGGTCTTGTGGGACACAATAAATTAGTCCCTTCTTCCTGAAGTCTGAAACTTTTGAGAAAGACGATAATAAATGAAGGAGTCCAGAAAATGAAAATGTATCTTTACTACTGCCAATACTTCTACCTTTGTCTCTGTCACCTGGCACGCTACCTCACAAAAAGTAGATGCTCAAAACATGGACAGTTAAGGGGCCGTGCCCAAAGCAAGCAATTGCGATCAAAAACTTTTCCTCTGAAGAATTTTTAGTATGCCTTTGTGCTATTGGCTCAGATTAATTGAGATTTAAGGAGCCAGTGATCTTGTTTTTGTTCTTGTCTTAGAGTACAGTGCATAATAAGTTTTTTGGTGTACCGTTAACCATGTGGTTATCATGGATGACATTTCATATACACATATTGGTTAAATACCAGCTAGGATTAACAGAGTATCTAAGCTAGCGATATTCCTTACTGCCTAAAACTTCTGTCAAAGGATAAAATTAAGCATAGGTCTGCAACTGATTTGCTAAGTGTCTGAAATAAATTGTACCTGATCAGTGTGTTTTAGAAAATTAATAATTTAAGTCATATTATGGGATAATTATGTATAAAAAGGAGCAGGTTGATTTATAGGCAATCAAAATAGAAGGCAGAATAATAAAGCTATTTTCAAAAACTGGAAAATGCTTTGATGCTTATTTTAAATAAGAACTAATAAAATAGCTAATTAATAATAACCACGACAACATTTACCAATATTGAATGTTTTCAGCATGTTGTTCACCATGGTAAGAGTCTGCAAAACATATTTCATCTAATCTTTGCTGGAAACCTTTTAGCTAAGTGTTATTCTTATCCACATTTTTTCAGAGAAGCAAAGTGACCCACTAGCTAACTGTAGCAACTGAAACCTGGGCTGTCCATCCCAACAGACTCCATAGCTCCCAAGGTATCTGACTTCATCTGGAATAGAAAACAAAATTGGGACATATCCTTAAGTTTATTTTAACAACCTTTAATTGGCCATGAAACAGTACATTCCCAGGGCACTAAGTCCTGACAGAAATATCCAGGCAGTTCAATCATACAGCCTTGTTTTTCATAGTGCTTAAAATGTATTAAGTCAATGCACACACAGATGGCAATAAGTGGTGTGAGTGAGAATACTTCAATATAATATTTATTTAGGAACATGGCAGATGTTTTGTCCCAGATCTTCAGAATAAGGCTCACATTGTCCAGGGACCTACTTTATAAAGCAGAGTAGCTTTAAGAAACTTTGTACTGGTGTGGTGAGAGCTAGAACCTGACATTTGGCCAAGCTCTTTAGCAGAACTTTCTATGTGTTCAGATGCTTTTCCATGGACTCTCATCTTCTGCAATCTCCTTGTTGCTTTGTTACAACTGCCTTATCACTACCTTCAGATTTCCTGCCTTACCACTTTTGCATAGAAATGTTTCTTTTTCAAATCTGATAAAAATTTATGTTGATGAAATAATAAAATGAAGGACAATCAATAATTTCTGAAATTTATGTTCTAGGAATTCTTACCAGCTGTTCACAAGTAGAATTCACTTCTCACAGTAGTCAAATTAATTATCACCATTTTAGACATTGGTAAACAGAGCCTCAGTAAGAGTATGGAAATTACCTGAGGTCAGTTAGCCAACAGGTTAGAATTTGCACCCATGGTCACTCTGCTATGTCTCTGCCCCACTTTTCCTTCTTGTTCCAACTTCCTAAAGAAGGGGGTCTAGCCATTTGGTTCAGATACCCATTCTTGGTCCAATGGACTGTGACCATAAAGTCAAGGTCTTTCTGTATAAGTCACCAGTGAGAGCTACCCATAGCTACCAGGACAATCACACAGGGACATTTTCAGAAACTGAGAGGCTAAATATTTACACTCTTGATTTAACATGAGTTTATCACCATTGATTACTTATTTTAGCTTTTATTTCTACTTCTAACAAGAAGAAAGGGAAAGCTTACCCAAGTAATGCTGCTGATGCTGCTGTGTGTGTGTGTGTGTGTGTGTGTGAGAGAGAGAGAGAGAGAGAGAGAGAGAGAGAGAGAGAGAGAGATAGAGAGAGAGAGGTATTTGAGAGAACAATGTCTTTCTGAAATGATTTGGGAATTTTATTGTCTGCCATTAGTGCAGCTAACCATGGTTAGTTGTAAACAAAATAAACATTTTGAATCACCTTGATTACTTATTTTAGCTTTTATTTCTACTTCTAACAAGAAGAAAGGGAAAGCTTACCCAAGTAATGCTGCTGATGCTGCTATGTGTGTGTGTGTGTGTGTGTGTGTGTGTGTGTGTGAGAGAGAGAGAGAGAGAGAGAGAGAGAGAGAGGTATTTGAGAGAACAATGTCTTTCTGAAATGATTTGGGAATTTTATTGTCTGCCATTAGTGCAGCTAACCATGGTTAGTTGTAAACAAAATAAACATTTTGAATATTTTAAAAATCATTGCTTTTGGGATATATCTTATCAAAGTAGATAATAAATGTTTTAAGCTCAGTTATTTTCAAAAAATATTCCTGGAGTAAGCAAACAAGTGAGCCAAATTTTTAGATTCACAGGAACATGGTCAACTTAAACATCCTTGGAATCTTGATTTATAAGTAGTCATTCCCTCTACTACTGACCAGTCTAAACTAGTTCAACTGGATTGAGAATATAGTATATGTGATTGGGTCTTTTAAAAAAAATATATATATATATACAAAATTTTGTTTTATCACAAGTTAATAACAGGAGGAGATTACATTGTGATAATTCTATACATACATATAGTGTACCTTGAATAAATTCACCCCATCTATTATAGTCCTACTCCCCCTTTTTGAATTCCCCCCTCTTTCAAAAAGTATTTGGTGGATTTCATTATTCTGTCTTCATATGCATTTATGCAGTGTACCTCCATCTTCTTCACCCCTCGGTATCCTATCCTTCCCCCCACTGGCTCCCCCAGATACATTCATGTTCTATTATTATCATTATCATTGTTATAATTATTGTCATTGTTGTTCTTGTTCTTGTTGTAGTTCTAGGTTTCACAAATGAGTGAGAACATGAAATATTTGGCCTTTGAGCTTGGCCTATCTCACTCAGCATGGTGATCTCCAGTTCCATTCATTTTCCTACAAAGATACAGCTTTAGTTTTCTTTATCCTGAGTAATAGTCCATCATGTATACATTTGTATGCATATATCATATTTTCTTTATTCATTCATCACTTGTTGAACAGCTTGGCTGATTCAACAGCTTGTCTATTGCAGAGAGGCAATAAACACAATGTGTAGGCATCTCTCTTGTATATTGATTTACACTCCTTTGGATATATGCCCAAGAGCGGTATGGCAGGGTCATAAATTAGGTCTATTTTTACCATTTTGAGGTGCTTCCATGCTGATTTCCATAGTGGTTTCTCTATTTTACATTCCTACCAACAGTGTATGAGGGTTTCTTTTTCCTGAATCCTCAATAGCATTTGTTGTTTGTTCTTTTCATGACTGCCAATCTGACTGGGTGAGATGAAATCTTAGTGTAGTTTTGATTTGCGTTTCCTTTATGGCTAAGGAAGTTGAATATTTCTCCATGTGCTTATTAGCCATTTTTATTTCTTCTTCTGATAACTATCTGATCAATTAATTTGCCCATTTATTAATTGGACTATGTTCTTCTGCTGTTTAGTTTTTTGAGCTCTTCGTATATTTTGGATATTAATCCCTTATCTGCAGAGATTTTTTTTCCTATTTGAGGGTTGTCTCTTGATTCTGGTAACTGTTTCTTTTGATGTGAAGAAACTTTTTAATATGATGTAGTCCCATTTCTCAATTTTTGTTCTTATTTCCTTGTTAATTGGAGCCCTATTCAGAATATAATTACTTATATGCCTATATCTTCCAGAGATTTTCCTATTTTTCATTGCAGTAGTTTCAAAGTTTCAGATCTTATATTAGGACATTTGAGCCATTTAGACTTGATTTTTGTATAGAGTGAGAAGTAGAGGTCTAGTTTAAGTCTTCTGCATGTAGGTAGCCAGTTTTCCCAGCACTATTTACTGAAGAGGCTGTTTTTTCTCCAGTGTTTATCTTTGGATGATTTGTCAAAGATGGGATGGCTGTAGCTATGTGGTTTTATTTCTGGGTCATCTGTTCTGTTCCACTGGCTTTCCTGTTTGTTTTTGCCATTTTTGCTACTATGATTCTGAAGTATAATGAAGTCTGGTATTGTGATACCTTAAAGTTGCTCTATTTGCTCAAGATTGTTTTTTTTTTTTTTATTTTGGGTCTTTTATCTTCCATATGAGTTTTAGGATTGATTTTCTGTTTCTATAAGGAATGACATTGAGATTTTTGTGGGCATTGCACTGAATTTGTATATTGCTGTCAGTAATACAGTGGCAGGGTTTTGAATAATGGAAACATTATCATATATCACATCCCTACCTCACAAGCCTGTCTGTTGTCCAGAGAAAGAGAGTATGCATAGTCCCAACTAGATGCATTCTACCATTTCTCTGACAAACACTGTCACACTGTGTCACTTCCTTGTGTAACCCACAATCTACTTCCCCATTTCTCTCCTCATGGAAAATACCAATGTAAACTAATCATATTCCTCCATGAATTTTCTGACAACACTGAGGGCTAGATAGTTTCCTCCTCTGCTGAATTTAATGGATGCTTAACAAATGTTTGCTATAAGTAAATTCTGGTCACAGATCACAGTGACTTTTACCTAACAATTCCAGACACACAAAAAAGCTAACCAACAAATGAAGTAACTTGTCTTGCCTCCATGGGTAGAATGGTATCAGGCTCTGCTTTTTTTTCCCTGTCTTGGTCAGCAATCAGCCCTGGTGCATTATGAACCATCCACTAATAATTGTAGGCTCCTTGATCAATAAGAGCTTAGCAATATCAAACATGTGTTAGAAGGATATGCCTTCATTCAGTTTTTATCCAGTCTTTTTTAAATCCTTGGAAAGAGGTAGTAAAATCCTCACACAAATTGAGTAAAGACAGACACCATTTATTTTGTATGTCCTAAAGATGACACAGATAAGATTTTTTAAAGAGCTGCTTTCATATGCATCACGGTTTAGTGGATTAGGAAAATATAGCATGATGTTTTAAAGTTTGCTTTCCTTCTGGTTTTGAGCATGCTGAGATCAATGGAGAATGTGGTAATCTTTATTTCAAACCATTGAGTTACAAATTTAATGCCAGTATAGCAAGTACTACAAGGAAAATGAATGCTACCCTTTTCAATTTTAGGAGCTGGTAAGTCATATTGCTTGTTTTCAGATTAGCAGATGTTTGCCTCTGGGTATTGCCATAAGGAATTCCTTGTTTATTCAAATAAATAAATTCCCTGGCTGTGAATGATGATGAGCTCCACACATTTCTCATGTGACTTATATCCTCCTGCAATCACAAGCACACATCCTTGCACTCTCTCTCTCTCTTTGTCTGCCTGTCTGTTCTCTCTCTCTCTCCTTTTCTCTCCCCCTCCCTCTTTTTTGGGAAAAAAATCCAAATTGCCAGTTTGATATCTTATTTTCATAGTCTTCTTCACTATGTAGGAGAATCAGAAGCCTTACCCATTACCTATTAAAAAATATAATTTACTTACCTAAAGAAGATGCTATTTTCAAGCCTTTGGAACCATGATGACTTGGGTGTAGGTTGAGATTTTCAGAGACCCTGCCAGGGCCCATCAAACACTATGCCTTATTTTTATGGCTGGAATTATCTAATTTAAATATTTTTCCATACATATTCCTGCTAACAAGAGTTTGTTAATTGTAATGAATTATATTTCTTCTAGTTTTGGTGTGTTATGGTGTGTTGATACCTTATATATCTAAGAAGATAATTGGGGACATTTTTCTATCCAAGATATACCTCAAGCATTATAGACATTTAAAAGAAATTATTATACCAACCACCATTGATTTGTTTGACACTAATATCTGTGTGCTACCATGAGTTTACTTCTGGAAATATCACCTAGCTTACATTTTGCTTCCAAAGTTATAAAAATTATGCATTATCTGTAAGATATTTGCATTGCAAAATATAACACTGTGAACTCTGTCATTTTCCTAAATTACTTAGGAATATACAATAGATGTGTTTTTCCGTCAAAGCTGGAAGGATGAAAGATTAAAATTTAAAGGACCTATGACAGTTCTTCGGTTAAACAACCTCATGGCCAGTAAAATTTGGACTCCGGACACCTTTTTCCACAATGGAAAAAAGTCTGTGGCCCACAATATGACAATGCCAAATAAACTCCTGCGAATCACAGAGGACGGCACCTTACTATACACCATGAGGTAAGGATGGCTGCACTTCCTTTCAAGATGGCTGCACTTCCTTTCATGAACCTTGCTATACTGCTTTCCTTTCCTCCTGTAGGCAATCATCAAGCTGACGAGCCATGGTGGAATATTGGATTTTCTGTTTTATAACCATAAAAAATACTCTGCTATGAAATCTTGCTGAAATGCTGTGAAATTACTGAAAGCTTAAATAAAGTGATATAAAAATGATAAAAAGTTTATATTAAGTATTGTAATATATATTTATCACAAGATATTGCTCCATCTCACTTTAATTCAATATGAGGAAATTCTTTCCTTACTGCAAGTCTCATCTATCGCTGCATTCCAGTAAAGTCTAAATTAAATTTCTAATAGTATATATCCAAAAATGTCTCCACAAAAACTGAGGAAACAAAACCCAGAAAATATGAAAAGATACAAAATTCTCCCAAGGAAACAGATTTATATGGAAATGTGTATGGGAAGTCTACAAATTCACAGAAGGTATCATGAACTCGGTATCTAAATTTTGTTTAAACTAAATATATATATATATATCTGTGTGTGTATCATAAAACATTATATGTATACATATATATATCATAAAAACATTACCCTATTTTGAGATTCCTGCAAAGTTCAGCATTTAGTTAGCGCTTAATACATCTAGAAATGAATGGAGTATGAATCTAAAAATGTTTTGAACATTGGTAGAGAAAAAGAAGAATTTAAACATCTTCTCAATTTATAAGAAATTATGAATTATCAGGACTTATTCTTGACATCAAGAATATTTCATTCCCTGCTGACTTGTTACAGTGTTGTTTCTGTAAATCTGGCCAAAGCTTGGCAATTCAGGCTGTCCAATTATTCCTTTGTTATAAAATTATAATAAAAGCAAAATTTTCAATTTAGTGGGTATGTTTAACATGGAAATTGAGTGATATTTTGCCTTTGGAGGAAGCTGCTAGTATGTCTAGTTTTTGAACATAAATGTCCAAATGAAAAGGAAAGAAAATAAATGCTTCAAAAGTCACTTTAGATATTGGACCAAACCAGTCCAAGTGTAATAAGACTTAAAGAATGATGGAAAATAAACCAAAAAGAAAATAGAGAATACGTGGACACATGTGTTGAGATCTCACCAGATTATTCAAGCAAGACTTAAGTATATCTGGAATATGAAATATTCCCCACTGGCTAAAAAAAAAAAAACCCTTTAAAATTATCTTTAAGCCTAATTCCTTCCAGGTGGCAATTTTCTAGGGGAATGGTTAGTGTATCTTGAATAGTTTAATAATTTCTTCCAGATGTAAAGTTTGCCATCAATAACTTGTGTCTATCTTCTAGCTTCTAAATTTCTCACTACCTTTGCTAATGTGTTCACTTTCTTTAAGCTTAAGAATGCAATACCATTCATATTTGAATTCATCAGTATTATAACTACTTAATGATTTTATTAGCAGTAAATTCATTCTGCCACATGTTTGAGCAATTTAAAAATATGGGTAATAAAAAACTTGCTAAAAGTCATATAAAGAAAATGGATATAAATTCCTTCATATGTCTACAAACTGAGAGTAAATATATTTCAGTGAATTTTTTTCTTAACAATTTTATGTTTAAAACATGAATAGAATTTACATTCCAGAACATCTCAGAGAGTAACCAAGTTACAGCAGAGTCCTGTCTTCAAGAAGGTAGTGGGTTTACAAATAAAACTAAGTGGCTGGAATAGAATAAGATTGCAAAGCTCTCAAGGTGACTTTACATTAGTCCATCCCACCTGGAGGACACTTTCTGCTTCTTCTACTCCTTTGGTTTATGCATCTGGTGCTATTCTAGGGAAGGAGATGAAAGCTACGCTCAGGACAGGAAATATTTTCTGCCTTTTCTTACTGTCAATGTCTTCTTTTCAATCAGGGATAAATTAAAAGTTTGCATACATTTTCAAAGTTTTATTTTAGCTCTATGTGACACGTAATAATTGCACATATTTAGTATCTTTGATGTGAGGTTTTTTTTTTCCTTTTTGCAGTATTGGGGTCTGAACTCAGTGTCTTGCACATGCCACCAAGTGCTCTCCCCAGTTCTTTTGCTAGTATTTTTGTTCTAACTTTGCTGAGCTGGCCTGAAACTTAAGATCCTCCTATCTTTGCATAGCTAGGATTACAGGCATGAGCCACCTTGCCCAGCTTCAATGTGATGTTTTAGTGCATGTATAAATTGTGTGCAAAAATACCCTGATTTGTGTAATGATCAGATCAGGGTAATTATACAAGTATTTATCTGCTTATATCTAGCTTAATTCTTAAAGAATTTTCTACAGCCAGGTGAGTTGATGAATGGTGTTTGTTTGGGAAAAAGTTATCAAAGCCTGTTTATTCCTCAACATGAAATGCTGCCTATTTTTTCAAAGCAAACAAAAAAAGGAAAAGAATCAATCATTGTATTTATTAGGTCATTTGATTATTTGCAACTCAGATATTTCTGCAGTTTATACCAGTTTCTTCTATTTTGTTAATATATTTACTACAGTTAATAACACCCCACTCTTATTATCAGAGGGTGTCTAATCTAATGGGTTTTGTTTCTACTGTTTCTCTTAATAATAAGGTTGACAGTGAGAGCTGAATGTCCAATGCACTTGGAGGACTTCCCTATGGATGCTCATGCTTGCCCACTGAAATTTGGAAGCTGTGAGTAAATTTGTTTTAAATTTTCTTTATTCTTATGAGAGATTCAGGACTAAGCAACCTTCCATTTAGTCATTTCTGTTCGAGAAGCATCAAGAAAATTCAGATAGCAAAATACTATATGGGCTTCCTATAAATAGTAATACTCAATTTCATTTTTAAATATTATTTCAAAAAAGCGGTCATTCTTTATTTCCCAAAAAGCATTGATTAGTAGAAGAATCTAGTAGAAACTGTTTAGTGGAAGAATGCTATTACATTTTTTCATAGAGAAAGGAGTGGGTGCTAGTACCTCATGGATCGTATTTTCCTCCCAATAAATGAACATACTGACATTGTATGATCTTCAAAATAACCCAACCTGTTTACTAGGAGAAAATATTTAAAGTTTACAATGTACAATAGGTAAATGTCCCTTCATAATGCACCTCACAGAAATTTCTAAAAAATAATTTACCCTTATTATAATCTTTATTGGAGAACTTTTTCGTTTGGTGGCACTGGGGCTTGAGTTCAGGGCTGCATGCTTGCTAGGCAGGTTCTTTACCACTTAAGCCACTCCACTAGCTCTTATTAAAATCTTTAAAAATATCTTGATCAGGTGGAATATCCCATGGAGTTCATGAGTGCACTAATGCTCTTTATTGTATCCTAGATACATCTCCTAATGTGATAACTTTCTGGGTTTCTACTCTTTGAAAATATTGAGGTACACCTTGAGAATCCAAGAGAGCAGGGTCCTGGAGAGTTGGGTTTTGTGGTCTTCTTACACCCTTCCTGCTTCTTTCATTCCTAAAGAGTGAAGATAATGTAGTCCCAGTTTCTTATAGAGTTGTGCACAAGGACTGAGTCAACTCCTGGGCTACCTAACTGGTTTTCTGTTCTCAGTAGAAAGGCAGTCAAAGCAACTATTTTGGTATAGATATGATTCATAGAAGAAAAATAGTGGTAGTGTAGGAAGATAGCAAGCAATGAAAATAGCAAAGGTCCTTACAGCACGACTCACAGAGAGACAGCGTTCTCTATTTATAAAACCTATTCTGTGTGAAGGTCAAAGATAGACTGCCTCAAGACTTGTCAGCTACACAGGTCTCTGGTGAGAACTCCCTTCTCCCCACTGGCTCCTGAATTCCAGCTCCATTTTTAAACGTGATGATGTGTATATGTGTTACTCGCCTGCCAGGTAATCAATTAAATGACTTATATTCATAAGATCATCTGAACCATACTGTAAAGTTATGGTTCAGAAGATCACCTACCATAGTTTTTCTGGGAAGTACAGATCTATCTCTGTTTTCTCAATACAATTACTTCAGAATACCTCCATCATCTTCAAAAATGCCCCAATTTTGTGGGATAAATTACACATTTTACATGAGTCAGGATTTATTTCACCAAGAAGGATACTTGAAGAAAAGAATTGTTCATATTTTCATATCAAATGTGTGAAGATAAGTGATTTGGGATAGTTTAGGATGCTAAACAAAGCTGATGTGTTAGAGTAGCCTTCGATGATCTTTTCATCCCAACATAGCTGATGAAACTCCAGCCATTGCATGTGATTTCAAGAAGAGAAAGAATAGATGGTGAAAAAAGCAAGCAGTAACTATATCAAACAGATAGAAGCTTTTCTTAAATTCTTGACATGCATCTGTTCACATCTCATTATTCAAATGTGTGTCACATTGCCAATGTTTTTGCCAAGGAGGAAACGAAGGGAATATTACACATAAGTTGTCTTCTGCCTCTGTGCCTTTGTTCATGATCTTTTCCTGTATTACTCTTTCCTTGTGGCTCAATGTCACCATTTCCCTGAGAACCTCATGGGAATTCGCACATAGACCCATCAATCTTCTTGATTCAAGTGCACATTAATCACAGCACCGTTAGTTTTATTTAGAAGTCAATGAGTTTTACTGTCTGATGACTTCCACCTTCATAAGAGTAGGGTACCTATTTTTCATCATTTCCTAGTGCAGAAGGATATGCAGTGTAACCAATAAGTGTTTATTGAGTGGATAAAGATCACACTAATCAGGTTTCAAATACTTCTCTGATGTTTAGCTTTCAGAAAAGAGGGCATAAGAAGTATGGGGAATTAAACTTAAAACAGAGACTGGATATTGAACCACAGGCTCAAGTGGTCTTGAGTGGTATAAGAGAATGCCATGTATCCTCATCATTGCCTGACACTCCCAAGGGAAGAGTCAGTAGAGGTCCCTTTGTTGTCCTGTCATTTCCCTGGCCTGGCCCTAATTAGCACATTTCAAAGGTGAAGAAACTGAGACAAAAGGGAACAAAAAATTCTTTAACTCAATTTTTAGAGCAAAGATGTTGGTAAAATATCAGTGAAGAGGATAACTAATATTGGGTTGGAAAAAAATAGCAAATGCTGTTCAATACATGTTTATGAAGCTTCTAAAGCAACCACATCCATGTGTTGATAAGCTCTGAACTGGAAAAGCAGCAATTTTTCCTTATGACTGTCTGTGAAACTCCAATTACCAGCTATAGCTTTCTGCTGGTAAGGGACGAAGACCTCTTCATAAGGACAGTTACTTCGATAACAACACATGATACTGTTATCATCTTTTAACTGTCTATTGAAGAAAACGAGATTCAGAGCCAGCTGTGGTAGCTCATATCTGTAATCCTAGCTACTTGGGAGGTGTAGATAAGATCACTATTCAAGGCCAGCCAGAGCAAAAAGTTAGGAAGACCCTGTCACAAAGAACAAGACCTGTAGTGGTACAGGTCTTCAGTCCCAGCTACTTGGTAGACAGAAGTAGGAGGATCCTGGTCTGAGGCCAGCTCTGGGGCAAAAAGAAAACCCAAGACCCTATCTGTAAAATAACCAAAAGCCAAAAAAAAGAGCTGGGTACATGTCTCAACTTATACAGTGCCTACCTAGCAAGCATGTGGTCTTGAGTCCAAACCCCAGTTGTATCAACAAAAATTAATTAAATAAATAGAAAATAAAAACATAAATAAATAAAAGAAGATGTCTGACATTGACATCTAGTCAAATGTTGGTTCTGTAAGATCTTAGTAAATGTATGTTTCTTTCCTGACCAATTATCAGTGTCTTGTAAACAGAGAGAGGGAGTAAGAATTTAAACAATTTCTGAATAGACAACTCTAAATATTATTTAGTTCAGCTGCCTCATGGAAATGGAAAAGCAGAGGCCCAAAACATGAAATGATATCACCAACTACCATCTCCTCTTCTGATACTAAACTTAGTCTTCCAGTCTTGTTGCCACCACAAAGTCCTTTCATAACCCCAAGCAAAATCTTCTTGTCTTTAAATTTATCTTCCTTAGGAATATGATTTATTTGAAATCATATTTCAAAATTTTTGACTGAATAGTTGAAGACTTTTAAACCTTGTTTTCCAAATGCTTAAGAAGTCTCAAATCAAGTAAGTTTTCATAGAAACTGCTTTCTGGATACTGGAATTTGAGAATCACTAGAACCTATCATCTATTCTCAGACCTTATGTACGTCTTCTCCATGGCAAAACATCAACTTTTCTTAAGCAAGTGGACTCTTAGTTTAGACAACTTCCCAGGAGTGCTGTGAACAATAAGGGACCTGTACTTTCCCAGTGTTGTAGCAGTGGTCTGCACATTTTCATATACAATGTATACATGTATATGAAATGGTGGTTCTAAGAAAATGGTGGTTCTAAGAAATTGCCAGTGAAACAATACCCAAATAATATGAAAGGAGAAGTAAATGGCAACCCATTATTTCTCCCTCTACAACTGCATTAGCATCTGAATGACAACACAGAATGACAGGCTTCCCTCATGGCTGTTAGCAGCAATGCAATAAGGTAGCAAGAGGTTCAGTGTTTGTTGAGATGTCAGGAGAGCTGTACCTGGCTTCATCACTGGTTATATGACCACCAATTATTCTTAATTTATGAGCATAGAATATAGTTTTTGCCTAGAAATATCTTTCAAAGAGCAGTGGAGTAGAATGAATGACATCCTAAGTTTTCCTTCACTTTTTCCACTAAACAGCCCTTAAATAAGTGATATAATGTTGTGTGTCTCCATTTACCATCTGTAAAATGAGATGATACCATGTGACTTTGAGGAATTTCTGAATATAGCATTCAATCACTTCATACTACTATAAACCCACTATGCCTTCTTAGGTAAGACAAAAAGAATTTATTATGACCAGAAAAATGTTTTCCTAAATGTAGATAGCTACAGATTCTAAGTACTGTGGTCCTTACCAAACTAGTATGTTCTACACTCTTCCATGATTTTTTAAAAAAATCAAAATTTATACCCTCCAGATGCACTATTCTCACTATACACAGCATTGAAATGCATCATTTTAAAAAATTTGTTTAGGACAATCATAATGAAAACTTGGAAAAGTCAATAAAGACAAATTCCAATTTATCCATTTTTTGCTTATATCTGTCTCATAAATCACTTAATTATTTTCTTTCAAGTTCTAGGGAAATTTATGTTAGAGATATCTTATTATAATTGGATCCATAAATGAAACTGGACCAGACAGGATACCTACCTACATAAAATTGCATAAACGTTGGCTACATTTTTTTGGTATTCATCAACTTAGAGAAAAGCAATCACTTTAAGAAGCTTTGTTGCAGAGACAAAGCATGTTTTTATTCATGCAGATTCATTTTCATGTAAAAAGAAGGCAACCATAATTTTACACTCCATAATATTCTAGCTTGAGTGGTAACATTATTTGGACACAACTCCCAATCTGCTATGACTTATGGACTGCTGTCATTTTTGCTTATAGGGGTCATTCCTCCAAAACAAAACTCAAATTTTATTTTATGACTATGTTGGTATAAGGATGAACCTAATCCAGGGTAGGTTATGTTTATTTTATTTTCTGATTTACATAAGTTAAAACATTTTCATGGCCTTCTAAAAGTATTTTGGGTCCTGGGCGCTGTGCCCACTGGGCCTAATGGAGAAATTGGCCATTGGCCAATAAGTTGAGCTTCTACAGCAAAGCTGACCTTTGCTATCCTGCACTCCCATTGAACACCCTGAAATCGCTTACTTTCTCTAAGGGGTTATTTCTTAAAATTTTAACATCACTATGTATCTGACCAGGGGAGATCATGTACCATCATTTCAATCTTTGTGAAATTGATGTTCAGTGACTGGAAATCAGAAAACCTGCAGGATTTCTTCTCTTTCTCTCTCCCACTCCAACCTTCATGGGTTAAAGATTCTTGACCACATCTCTCATACAGAAGAAGGGCTAGACTAAAAGTGACATGGTAAATGAAAATGACTGAGAAGGAGAGCTAAGTAATGTAACCCATAACCATTATTAGCATCATCTTTATGAAGGTAAATATCTATAAAAAGCATAGCAAATAAAAAAGGAAATAAACTCAGACTTAATGCTGTGAAGCAGTATTTCTAGTGTTGCTTTTGACATTGATCATAACCTGGTCCTGGCTTGCCATACTGTGATTCCAAGCTATTGACTCTAACCTTGTGTCATGCCATGCACTCTGGACACATTGGTCTTTTCCAAACTCTTCAGGCTTTTATTTGCAATAGAAGAAACATTTGTTGCTTGTTTATTGAACAATCTCTCCTCAGTGACTTCTGCATCCCTCACTCCCTCATTTCGATCATATACTTGTATAAATGCCAGCTCTTCTGAGACACTCTGAGTCCCCTTTGTGACCCAAAATAATCCTCTGCTCATTCATTCTCTATCCCTTTGCCCACTGGTGTATGACTTTATTGCACTTTAAACTATGTGAAATTATATAGTTATTTATTTGATTATCTGTTTTTATTCTTATTGTATATTCCCTAAGAACAGGAACTTTATGTTCATTATTACTGTACATTGTGCTTTAAAGATGCATTTGTTGCAAGAGTGAAAAAATGAGTAGAAGAATCAGAAAAATGTGTTTTAATATTCTCAAACTAATGAATGTGGACTTTCCCTTCCTAGCTTGCTATACAAAGCCATGAGATAGGAAATATGGACCAAATCAATCATACTAATTAATTAAAAATCAAAGAAGTGAAATACCTTGATAATTTTCCATCTCTTCCTTTTAGATGCTTATACAAGAGCCGAAGTTGTCTATGAATGGACTAGAGAGCCAGCTCGCTCAGTAGTTGTAGCAGAAGATGGGTCACGCTTAAACCAGTATGACCTTCTTGGACAAACAGTAGACTCTGGAATTGTACAGTCTAGTACAGGTAAGCAGCAGTTGATTTCTCTGGATATAGAGGAAGAAGTATAAGAATATATTGTGAGAATTCATTGACTCTTGCAATAACACAAAGAGAGAAGACAGAAGGCAGCACAAAATCAGGATCTTTTGATCAGGTAACTAATGCAAACTCCAGATCTGTGATGTTAGATCTATCGTTTGATGACTTGGTGCTTCTCTTTATTTGCAAAATAAAAATTTGGTTCAATGCAATCAGTGTAGCACACATACTTGAACACTTGGGTAAGAATGGCTGGGTTAAATCCTTGCTCTTCTACCTTGCCAGTCAATCATAGTCACTATGGTGTTGCTGGAATAAACAAACTAAGTCCATAAACATCACATCAATAATTCCCAGCACATGAAAAACTTTACCTACATGTTAGCTATTAATATGTCTTATATATGTTCATGAATTAATTAATCTTGGTGCACTTGTTATAGTGATCATTCTACATAGGACATCAAAAGTCAATTTGTCCTACACACCAATTGTATCTCTAGCCTAGGATGTCCCCCAGCTAACGCCAATGGAGATGTAGACATGCTAATGAGCACCCCATATTCTAATTAAATTAGGTGAATGACATCTTTTTGGTGGTCTAACTGATTCACTAATGATATTCTCAACTTAGATTAGATACTATTACAAAAAACTGGACCTAAATTTTTGAAATTGTTTCAAACGATAGGAGTTTAATTCTGCATAGTACCATTTAATACTACTTAAAATCTGACTATGGGACAAGATAATTATAAGTAAAATCTGGTCTTTAATAATTAATAAAACTTATTGTCTCCAAATCCCAATGTTGTTTTAAAATATCCTCAATCACTCAAATATTTTGTATGAGGGTCAATGGTTATTTTGTGGATATTTTACAAAGTTTGAATTTATCTCATTCAATTTTGTGATTTCTAAAGAAAGATGATGTACCAGGATAGAAGAATGGTGATACTAATTTTCTTATGTAATTTTCTTTGTTATATTTTATAGTTTATCTTGGGACCCTCATAGTTCTAACACCTTCTAGTGATAAGTCAATATCTCTTACTACAATTCTTGTGCAAGTTCTGCTAACAGGATCTGCCTTTTGCTTTTTAAAAAACCACCCACAAATATCTTTGAAGCTCAAATATGTATGCTTCTTGTTTAAAAAGTGGAGAAAATTGCTCTTCATTATGCTACTGGCACAGAGGAAAGTGCATGGCTTTGCAATGACAAAGACTCAGATTCAAGTCTTGGTCCACTCATTTAAAAGCCTATAAATTTGAGCAGGTCACTTATCAAAGCATGAGAGGAATGAGAATGCTATAATTTTTCATTAAGGATGAGACAGCGGTTGGAGATGTAGCTCAGTGATAGAGAACTTGCCTAGCATATTTGATCTTTAGCACCATAGAAAGGGAAAAGGAAGAAGAAAAAATATTAGACAGTATAAAATACTGTGGCATGTTACATAATAGTAGCTCAGAATGACATTCGGCACTGTTGTTATAGTCTTGAAAATATCCCAAACATGGAAAATGCTGAAAGTTTTCTTTCATATAACATATATTGAAAAAGAGTAAAAAAAAAGGCTGTGTTTAATTCTGAAAAATGGGATGCTAATATATGCCAGATATTATGACAAGCACTGGAGAATCAATGATAAACAATTCATAGACTTTGCTCTCACGGAATGTGAAATCTGAGAACAGATGAGCACATGAACTATAATTATCAAAATGGGTGCTAAGTGCTGTGATTAACACTTTTGTGAGGTCAGAGACCATGTCAGTCTTCTGTATCCCTGTGATTTTCTGCTGAGACATAGGAGGCACTGAATAAGTATTTTGAATTAGTGAAAAAAGATAATATTTAGGATAATTGAGGAAAAAATGCTTCAGGGGTTGACTTCATTTTATTAGTCTATATCTGTAGGAGGGACAAATTATCACTGTTCTAGGTGAAGGGCATCCAAAATAATGAAGAATTCCATCATTATTATTAGGATGGAGGCTGAAGAATGTCAGAGAGTCAATTCAAAAGCAGTAGCAAGGCCAAATGCTGGTGACTCATACCTGTAATCCTAGCTGTTCAGGAGGCAGAGATCAGGAGGATTACAGTTTGAGGCCAATCCCAGGAAAACAGTTCATGAGATCCATCTGGAAAAACACAATCACAAAAGAAGTGATGGCAGAGTGGCTCAAGCAGTAACAACACCTGCCTAGTAAGCAGGAGACCTGAGTTCAAACCCCAGTACCGCCAAAAGCATGCAAAAGTAAGACAAATCTGAAAGGTTGCACATGGGAAAGACTCTACTCTTCCAGTCCTAATAACCTTGACCATGTCACAAGAGCCCTCTGTGGGCTCCAGTTCCCATGTCTGCAAAATTAGTGGCTTAGTTAAATGAACTTGGAGAATTTCCAAAGGATTCCTTTCACTTCCAAAGATTCAAGCTGCCTACATTCTAGCTATTCAGGAAGGATCTCCCTGATTCTGCTAAAGGATTAGAAAATGACAGCAAAAGAGAGTATACAAGTAGAATGGCTTGATGAAAGGCAGTTTTATTTACCTAAAGATCTCTGTTGGAGAACCTCATTAGGTGAGGAGGTGATGTCATACTTGTCTGGCATTAACACTTGTGTGAACACAGAAACACATAATCTCGGTGACATGTTTCAAGTCAACATACTTCCAGATCATATCAGTGACATCAGTGAGAAAATGATGGAGACTGGCACCATATTTGGATTTGTCAAACTCAATGAAAACACCCAATCCATTCATTGGAGTCTGCCATCAACTGTAGGGAAAGAAAATTAATTACAACCTGAGTTTGAAGTCCATTTAATCAACTGTCAGAGCAAAACCATTATAAGAACATAGAAGAGATAAATTCTCACCAGATTTCAAAACCATATAATTCTCTGTTAGCATCCATTTATCCAGATATTCCTGTAATCATTTGTTCAATTTCTGGGTGCAATGCAGTGATTGGGCTTGGATAAGAGGGAGAGAAGATACATAGCCCCTGCTGTCCTGATTGAGAAAGACAAAGAGCTAATATTATTGACATTCTGCTACTCTCCAACTTTCACCAAAAAAATCCTAGTATTTTAAAATTATTATTATTTCCATTTTATATATGGGGTATATGTTTGTATTAAGGAGAAGTTTCATCAGCCCTAAGGTCAAACAGCTAGAAAGAGGGAGGGGTAAGATATGAGCTGGGGTGCTCTGGCTATACAGCATGTGTTCTCAGTTAAACAGAGTGCTAGTAACATGGGAGAAGGGAAAGAATGTTCATTAAAAAGTAGATTCAGAAATTATGCCACAAGGGTTTAAATGCTGCTTTTTCCACATATTAACAGTATAACTTTTGGCAAATCATTTAATTTCTCTGATAATCTATTCTTCTATATTTACTTCCTAAGCTAGGTGATATTTAGATGACAAAATGCATGTCAACTGGTTAGAAGAGAATCTGCTGTGAAAACGCCATCAACAGATATCATATATTAGCATTAGTGCTTGTGGGGTTAGTGCAAGAGAGTACTATATTGGCAGGAAGGAAGAAGAGGTCATTGCTGCTGGAATATCGGGGAAGGCAGTTTGGGACTAGATTCCAGGTGTGACTGCTGTCTCCTTCCATCATATCACATGATGTTTCTTAAGCAACAATTTAAGAAAAGTTCCCCAAAACAAGTTACAACAGTAATTGAGATCACTCAGACAAAAAAGTAAATTAATTAAACTGGATATCAACACAGAAATAATAACAGTTTCCAGAAAGCAATGAGAATGTCTTAGGAAAACTTGCAATGATGACTGTAAGTTCCTCAAATTTACCAAAGTAAATCTGATTGTGGGAAATTTAGGTTAGTTTGGTAACTAAGATGTTTTTTATTCCTGAGTGACTATCAGTAAACCGTAGATCTTAAAACTTAGCACTTGTAGAACCCTCTGTCTTACATGTAGAGTTTTCTCTGGATGAGTTGTACTAAAGATGACCTTGTGAGGTCAAAATAAGGAGGAAAGTCACTGACTTCATTGATGATGAGGCATTAGTACAGATCAACATTCAGCACAGAGCTTCAGGGCTCCCATTTGTAAAGCCTAGTACCTGATCACCAGAGAACTAACTATAAACGCAGAATCTGAGATCTGAAGAAAGGAACTACTGTGGTTTTCTACTCAACTCATTCATATTTCAAGTAAGGAAATGGGTCCAGAAAGGTCTAGTACACTATTTCCTTAATTCTATTTCAGTGTTCTTCTATGCAGTTAATACAACATTACCATCACCCTTCCTCTGTGATATTTTAATACATCATTTCTTTTAACATTGTCGTATCTATATAAAATACTTAATTTGAAGAACTGGGAAGGAATATTATAGTTGCACACAGAGTCACCAACATTTACACTAAATGACTAAAGTTCTGGTTTCCTGGTTGGGCACACTGTCTTCATCTCTCCTTCTATCTTCATACTCTTCATCTGCATAGCATATGACTCAGATTACTTTTTATTATTAATTTTAACCTGAAAGCATCCCAGGAAGCAGTTCTGCTAAATACAACTACATAGATTGCATAAATCAGGAAAAAGCAAAGTCAAATGAAATCAAACGAGGTATTTACCCCTTAGTAAGTAATGTTTGAGAAGGCTAAGACTAGACGCCAGCTCTAAACCATTAATGCCAGCTTGCCAAATTATACCCCTCTTTCTTTTCTTCCACTGCCCTTGATTTTATCTGGTAGTGTATCAGAAATATTGACATATTTAATTTACAAGTTTCCCTCAGGGTGAGATGATATGCAAAAATATTTGAGTTAAAATTCTTCTGGACTGTTGAATTAGAGGAAAAGAATTTGTGAATAAAACATGTAGTGTCCAGGCTCTCTTTCAAGCCAATTTAGGACACTAGGGCTTTATTTTTTTGTGTGTTTTCTTTCATTTTTAAATTACTGCAACATAATTCTGATGTTGCTGCCTTTTCTGTCCCTCATTTAAAAGTTCTGGGCCAACCCTGTTTAGATTTCATTTCATTTCAGAAGATGGTTTCAAAGCATTAGAAGTCCTCCTATTCTTTCCCTAATCTGTGAGGAAAAGAAGTTGTTTATGAAACAAATATAATACCAAATAATAGCTTCTCAGATCTCCAAGAATAATATTCTTTTCAGACTCTTCACAAAAATGTCACACTGCAAAAAAACAAACGATAGTGGAATGTATATAGGCACTCTTCTTCCTGACATTGTATGAAAGATGGATATTTTTTTCTTTGAGCTGGTGACATTTTGCAAGCCACCATTCAATGAATGGTTAGGAATAACAATGTGGACCCCTGGGATGGTGAAATGTAACATGGGTTTGTCCCCATGGGATATATTTTAGCAGAGTTTTGAGAAAATTGGTTTTCTGCATTTTCTCCTCAGACTTGGATTCCTTCTTTCTCTTTCAAATGTCCTTATAGGCATCAAAAGTTTATAGAGAAAATTAAAAGTGAATGAGTTGATATTTTGTTTATCTTTCTAAATAGAGATGCTCATTAATTCTTTTTTGGGGGAAGTAATGTTTGAACTCAGTGCTTTGTGCTTGCTAGGCAGGCACTCTACCACTTGAAACATACCTCCAGTCCTTTCTGCCCTGGCTATGTTATAGCTAGAGTCTTGCTTTGTACCTTGGCCAGCATGGAGTGCAAACTTTTTATTTTAGATTCCTACCATAGGTGTGGTGACAGGCAAGCACCACTGTGTCCAGCTCTTGATTGAGATGGGGTCTAGTGAATTTTTTTTTTTTTTTGCTCAGGCTGGCCTTGAACTGCCACCTCCAGATCTCAGCCTCCTAAGTATCTAGGATTACCGGCATGAGTCAGGCTTGGTTATTGATTTTGTTTTGATTGAGTTACTTAAAGCTTCCATTTTCACCATAGACAGGTATTGAAGACTGGGGGTATATAAAGTCACACTATATCCAAAGAGCTATTCCTCTTTACAATTAGCTTTCAGTTTGGTGGGAGGGATATAGACATACAAATAACACACAAGCATGAGATAGAATTATGCATGTAAAAAAGTTTTAAGTAAAGTTGAAGGTATTTAGTAAGTGATCATTAAATGGCAGATGTTATCATTAACAACAATTAATAATAAGAGCATCAAAGAATGCATGCATGATTGACTTCTGTAAACAGCTGATGTGTTTTTTTCTGCCAATACATCTACCAATTTTGATGGGGGAGACAAGTGAAGAAAACGGAGACATGAACTAAAATGTATTTCAACATGCCTATTTAGTGTAATCTTAATGAAAGTCATTAGTTTTTCTTCTGCCATATTATATTATCAATATTTTGTAGATGAGAAAATAGAGGATTAGCGAGTTTACATGAGTTGCCCAAAGCTACACAGCAAGAAAATAAAGATCAAATTACTTTGCTTCCAAGGCTAATACATTTTCCTTTCAGAAAATTTCTTCCTGTACCTCTGAGGACCTGGTGCTTGTACTGAACCCAATGTATAGATGAGCAAACTGCTCAGCCACAAAGGATGTCGAGTATTGTTAGCGAAGGTACTGAGATATCAAAGTGTGTGGAGGGAGGTAAGCCAGCAATGCCTATGAGAGTTGAGGTATGGACAGTCTTGAACACAAGTTAGGGAGTTTGCTCATCACTGTGAAGAACAGCAGGCAGTTTTTATTGTCATACTGAAGAAAGGACAATCATTTGCGCTAATATCTAATGAGCAGAGAGCAAAGATCATACAATGCACAAGATAGCCCCTGACCACAAACATCTGCTCCAAATGCCAACAGCACTGAGGAAAATGTAGATAATGTAGATAATGGGTATGTTCGTCATTACTATGACAAAACACCTGAGGTAAACAAATGAAAAGGAGGAAAGACTTTCTTTGGTTCGGGAGTTTAAGAGCACCATCCTTGGCCCACTGGCTATATGGGCTTGGTGAGGTAGGACATTGTGATATACAGCCAAGGTAGAACAAAGCTGATGGGACCAAGAAGCTGGTAGTCTCCAAACAAGATGCACAAGTCTGAGGCTGATGGCCAAGAAGTCCCCAGTGAATAGATTGTGTAAGTGCACATTCACAGGTTGGAGAATCTGGAGCCTATAAGATGAGTTGTGTGTCTAGTGCATCAGACTTCTAGATGAAGCCAGCATCTGGAGTATAGAAAGACCGTGGAGAGTAAATAGCTAGTCTGCTGTTTCCCAAAACAGGCTAGGAACTGACGCAAGCTAGGAGTGCAGCTCAATGGCAGAGCAGTTGGCTAGCATGTGTGAGGCCCTGGGTTCTGTCCTCAGCACTGAAAAACATCAAAGCTAAATACAGATACAAATTTCCCTGGAAACTTGGTTTGTAACTCTAAGTGGTATTTGAAGAACTGCATCTTTCAAAACCATTGCATGTTATTTTGGGAAATAAATTTTGAGAAAAGAATGGAGTCTAGACCACTCCTCATTTTGTATCTCAGGCCATCTATGAGGTCCAATGAAGGGTTGGAGGTAAAAGGCTGCTGTCTGACTTGCATGCTGAAGCACCTTGAGTAGACATTCTGAATCTGTTCTGTGATGGCCACACTGGAGATGTAGTCAGTTTATTGCCTACATGATAAAGAAAGCCAGTCTTCAAATACCTATTCAGATGTCCCTTAACTATGTGGTGTAGTGTGTTAGAAAGTTAGAATATACAAGAAAACTCTGTTACCTGAATTTCATCCTGAGAGCGATTTTCATGTTTGCTAAAAAGTCCTTCTTGAACAAAAGCTTTTTTCTTCAGGGATTGTAGTCATCTGGAACAGGGCTATGTCTAACCTCCAGGACTAGGCTGCTAATAATAATAAAAAAAAACCCTCAGAAATAACTTCTTTTCAAGGACGAATTGTTCAGTCTTCCTGTCTGCTTCACCCTTCAGGAGAATATGTTGTTATGACTACTCACTTCCACTTGAAGAGAAAGATTGGCTATTTTGTTATTCAAACATACCTGCCCTGCATAATGACGGTTATTCTCTCACAAGTCTCCTTCTGGCTCAACAGAGAGTCTGTACCAGCAAGAACTGTCTTTGGTAAGTGTCAGTCAAGCCAGGCATGCATGCAACGATCTTGAAGGCAAGTTATTCCATGTCTGTGAAATTGCAAAGACAGCAAAAAAAAAAAATTACTATACTTTCATAGCTAAAGTTCTGAGGTTTGTATGATAGAAAGGTTCAAGGAAGTGCCATTCTTCTACAGCTAAAAAAAAGGGCTATCTTTATGGTTAAATAGCAAGTCATTTTCATGCATGTGTATTGATAGAGTTAATGAACCATTTGATTTGATATTTTGGTATTTTTGCTTTTCTACAGGAAGCAGACATATGTAGCATTAAACCAGATTAACATGTGGTTGTGTAAGAAATTGTGTAATAGGAAAAGTTGTACCAGCATCTTCATATTGAGAATTTTTTTCCAGCATGGGCACTTACAACAAGCACATAGCAGACAACTCTTACTCCTTCATTAGGACCTGGCATTCTACTTTCACCTTAAAAGATCCATTTTACATCAAGTCTCAGAGATTTGGAAATTTTGTACAAATTATCCACAGCAAAACATAAAAAAATAAACAAGTTTTTATTTTAAAAAAAAATCACATACATGGAAACATTAATATTTAAACAATACATTTAGAATACCTAAGTATGTGTTTTGAGAATCTTAGAGAACAGTGACACACTACTTCCTTACATACATAAAAGTAGGGTTTTCTTCAGTAGAGGGAACTTGTTAATGATCATGTCAGTAGAAGAATACCCTGCTTTAAGGAATATATGCACTCCTGAAAAATTACAAAGATACTTTTTTCTGTTAAAATCTTTTAAATGACCTAAATATTTAAAGTTAGGGCAATAGGATGGAGAAATAGTCAAAGGGCAAGCAACCTTCTTCTAGTGGGAAAACTGACCTCCTGCAGATCAGTTTATTTTAGTTTGCATTTCATAGAAAGGTGAATTTCCTGACTGTATTCCACTCTCAATTGTACTTTTCAGACTGACGAAGCCAAAGATTCTGCTACAATAAATTTATTGATACATTCATCCTGTAAATGTTCATTTGAAACCTACTATGAGCTCTACTACTGTGTCCTAGGAGCAAGACGAAATTGAGATCTTAACATAGACCACTCCCTGCATAAAGTTTATCCTCCAGAGGTTGACATTCAAATAGTCATAAAAATCAGAGAGAATACCTACTGTGTGTTTTTATATTGTTCAATGCAATTAACCTATATTATTGTATTTAAACCTAAGAAGTCCTATATACTACCATTATCACCATTTTATAAACTTGAAATCCAGGGAACACAAGATTAAGTAACCTTTCCCAGGTCAGGAGCAGTTAAGTGAGGGAGACAGGATAAGACCCAAACACAGCCCTGGTCTGTGTAGTAAAAATGATGCTTAATCATCGCTTTGAAGACATCCTGCCTCAATGACAAGACATAGAACTGGATCATTGTAGACAATGTCACTCATTTAAAAATAATAACCACATATTTATTGGTGAAAAATACAATTATTAAGGTTTGTCAGTACAAATACGAACTTTATACCTGCTGTATTGGAGACCATGCGTTACAGAATTAAAAACTTTAGTTCTAATCTAAATTAAGGATCTCATGCGCAGAGATTCTCATGCTATCATCCTTTCATATGTTCAAGGTGTGAACAATCCAATGCCTCAGAGAAAAAGCAAGACTCTGCTACAGGTGCCTAGAAAAGTATCTTTTGTTTTGAACTTGGCAAACACCTCCAGGTTGGAAACCCCCAAATCTATGTTCTGGTGCTCTGACCAAAGCCTAAGCATATAGCTAAATTAAGATGCAAAGTGATTTCCAGTCCCTAAGCAAAAGAGCAGTTCATTTACAACTTTTTCTTTATAACAATATGTCAATACTGACAAGCACTGAAGCCGGTAAAGACTGACCTCTTGATAGGATGCTTACCTCTATATGTACATCCCATTCAAGCCCTTAACTCACCAGGAAACAAAAAACTAAGAACACATAACTTGCTAATGTGTTTTGCTTTATTATAGTTTTGAAGAAGGAGGCTAGCAGTATAGTGAAAAAGATTCTTTTTAAATGATGACATTCCCCCACCACCACCCACACACTACAACAAATGCTACCCTCCTACTTGGGAACTCCTCAAAGCATTTTAAAATGTTTCGTAAGTAGAAAACATTGCTCTTAACATTTTCAACAACCGTGTTTCTCAATCGACTCATGCCCTTTTAGCAAACATAACTGTATATCTGTAAACTCAGCCATGGCAAATATTTCTGTGTATCGAGTTAGAAGTTTCTAGTGTTTAAGTTCCACGAAATCACAAACACAATTTTCTTAGACCTTTAGCCTTTTAACATTTCTTTAGTACACATGCTCCTATTCTATTTGGTCTGAACTCAATATATTTCCCTGAGCTCTGTAGATGTCTGAGATCACTAGTATTTAAAGAAATATCAAAAAAGAAAAAGGCACAAACAAAAGTTATAGCCTGTAAGTTTATTATAAAAAGAGTTTTGAGAACGCAACAGGGTTGAAGTCCCCTTTATGCCTTAATAGATGATATTCTTGGCTTCTGTAATCTCTGTCGTTTGGAGAAAATGTTGCTGTGTAATGTTGCTGTCAGAGTTCCAAGTGTTAGGCTCAATCTCACCAGCCACTTACCAGCTGTAGGACATGGGCCACTTCACCTTTCGGAGCTCTGGTTGCCTGTCATGAGAGTGCAAGGAAAGTGGTGTTGTTCAAAGAATTAAACTAGAAAAAGAGGAGGAAATATATAAATTTTCAGACTGATAAAATAAATAAATAAATAAAAATAAATTGTCAGACTGAGAACCAGGAACTTAGCTGTTCAACATACTTTCTTTTCTCTCCAGCAGAGATTTCAAGACCCCCTCCCCAAGAAATACACATAAACCCCTCACTTTATGTTACTCCACTATTCTCAACTGTTCTTACTTTATAGATACATTTGATGTATCAGAAGCCAAATTGCTTCTGAGAGCTGTCTACATAGACCAAATTTTCAAAAAAATGAAATTCACTGTAGTAAACAGTTATCAAAGAGGATACTGAAATTTTCAGCAGTAATGGGTATTGAATATGCCTTAAGTAACTGTCAGGCTAAGCAAAACTTTACTACATTATCTCATCTAATATAATAGCTCTCTGCTTTAGACTTAATGAAATAAATAAACAAGAATAAAAAAATAAAAAGAGCAAAAACAAAAAGCTCAAGATTGTGAGGTAATTATTCCAAGGTCATTCAGCTATTACAGAACTGGGATTTGAAATTGGGTTACTCTGTTCCCCAAATACTGACTTTTAATTACCTTGTTATTTTCTTTAGGTAATATTGATATGTAAATTTGAGGGCTGCCTGCCAGAGCCAGTATTCATTAAACTATTATTAGTTATATAATATGGATAATGCCCCAGAATTTTCTGTTACCCCACCAAAGCTCAAAGTAAATCTATTTCTTGCAGTTCTGACCATGTGTCAAAAATAAAATTTAGCAAAAAATCTTAACATTTGTTCTTAATGATCTCACTTCCTGGTGTAGTGGCCATCTATTGAGAAATCCATGGAAAAGCAGAGACTCAGTACTGGGTGACTGAAGCCCCATACAAAAGTTAGCCTCATAGCAGTTGGGTGACCCTGCTGACTCTCTAATGGGAGGAATCAGAGACCTAAGCTTCAGACATGTGGAATGATATCACTTTACACAGCAGTACATTATTTATAATCTTTAAGGTAAATTTGAATATCATTAAGTGTAACGTGAGTGGGCAGAAATTTCCCCCTCTGAGAATTTCAATACGGCATAGAAAATAGAGAACAGGAAGAATTAATCATCCATTTTACAAACATGAGGCTGAAGTCCCTGTCAGTTAACTAACTCAGCTGAGGCCTAAAAGCTAGTTAAGTTGTAAGGCTGGGATTAGTCACCGGAAGAGATCAGGACTGTTTCCATGGAAGAGATCCTGATCCTCTCTGACTAGACTACTGTGAAATGTTTTACAAGGTTTTTCAAATGACCTACAAAGAACCTTACAGCATTGTACTTAGTAGATTTTATCTAATGCCGTTCATTACACACGGCAGACTGGTGAACATCGATGTGTTAAATGGACATCAAAGATCTCATCTTCACTTATCAACTCATCTAAGTATCCAAATAAACTAAAAAGTAGACTTGAAAACTGCTTTGAATTTGAAAATAGTTTGTTTTAGTCTCTAGGGTTGGGGTTTGCAGAGCAGGAAAGATTAAATAGCATTAGTAGAAAGAAAAAGATTGTGGACCCTTGAATCAGACCGACTTGTGTTCAAAGTTTTGTTTTGCTATCTCTTAGCTGTCTGACTTTAAACAAGATGCATCAGATTTATTATATATGTATACACAGGTACACAGTTACATGTTATTTTATATATAATAAGTTTTATGTGACTTGCTTTATACACACACACATGTCACTTACAGGATTTTCTTCAAATGAGCAGCTATTTTAGTGTAAGAGAAGAGGTGGTAATGTGGCAATTATCATCCTGAAGTTCTTGACTTGTCAGGCAATTTCCAAGAAGTCATTGACTTTCTGGTTTCTCCATTTGGGACACAAAATTGAAGATCTAGATGTGTTTTGTCTTGTAGGGACAGTGAAAATCTATGATTTAATTTCAAAAGTTGGGTACAGTGAAGAATGCTATTTCCTATCCTAGTTAGCATACCATGTATAAGGTGCCCATGTATAAGAATTTCATGATCTTATTAATAGCTCCTCAGTAGAAGAGTCATTTATCCATCCAAGATGCTCCCCTAAATAGATTCCCCATAAAGTACAGACTACTCTGGGATTAAATTATAACTCATCCATCCCAAACCAAAATGGAATGATTTTAAAACCATGTTTCATATGTGGTTCTGTTGTGTTCTCTTTGTTCAAGTCAGCTGACTTCCAGTGACAGAATTCAGTGTGTGCACCCTTACTTAATTTCTTTCCTTACAGGAGTCACAACTGTGCTGACAATGACAACTTTGAGTATCAGTGCCAGAAACTCCCTCCCAAAAGTGGCTTATGCAACAGCTATGGATTGGTTTATTGCTGTGTGCTATGCTTTCGTTTTCTCAGCTTTGATTGAGTTTGCCACAGTAAACTATTTCACCAAGAGAGGTTATGCATGGGATGGCAAAAGTGTGGTGCCAGAAAAGGTAAGTGCTTACTATTAGCAGTTCCTGTAGTGTACCATGACTGTGACTCTTTAAACTTTGAGATGGAATATTTGGACATAGGGAAGCAACAGAGGAGTAACAAGCATGCTTTTGTGTGTGTGTGTCAGAAATGACTAAACGAAATGACAATTTTACTACTGTTGAGAGGAGAGGTTGTTTGGGTGAATAGATGTACAGACAGAGGAAAGGAGATACAAGACAACTAAGAGAAGGATTTCTACTCAAATATGCTTCTTTTGGTCCCTATTGATGTGAGAACAGTTTTAACAAATCTGATATCAGGCACAAACAAACTTATCCAAATTCATTATTTACCAAGTCCATTGTAATTTTTGTAACTTGAAAATCATATCCTTTTTTTTTCTGAGCCTGATCACTTTGGTCATAGACTTATTACAGTGCTTTCTTTGAACTGAGTCTGTAAAATGAACAATTCCCAATTTTCAGTGAAATCAAGGGTAGTCCTATTTTCTTTATCTGAAATAGGCGTTTACATGATTCAGTGTAAAGGAGATCCACGGTTCTAGAATTGAACTGTCCTGCAATAGTGCAAACCACAATTGTGAGCCACAAATATTATTTAAAGTTTTCTAATTGTATCATTTAAAAAGTATAAGCACATGACATTAACCTCAATACTATACGTTATCACAGTGTATAAAAAAAATTCTGGCTTTATAATATGTAATCCATATAAAAATTATTAATGCATTGTATTACATTGTACTTTTTCATAGTAGATCTTTAAAATCTTTTCCACATTTTACACTTAAAGTACATCTCAAATAAGATGAGTTACATTCAAGTGCTCAGTACTTACACATGGTTAATGACAACTGTATCAGACTACATGCCTGTAAACAAGGATCATTCTTAAGAAATACATGTATGAATGAAACCTTAGAGCGTGCTGCAAATATTAATCATTGCACAAATCACATTGTTGAGCAAGTAAAGTCAAACAAATACTGAATTTAAGAGACCCTGACTAACCCTGTCTTATTTTTTACCCATTTGAAATGAGAGAAAATAAAAATTGGCACATCAGATTTATTGCTGTGAAACACACTACCCAAAAATCAGTTACCAAAACAAAAGCCAATTGTTCGCTCATGATTCTGAATTTGAGACTGGGAACACCTGAGGGTATTTCTTTAGCGTGAGCTGGGCTCAACTCACATAATTGAAGCTCACGGTGGTTCCACTAGAGCTGGAAGATCTGTAGTGGCCTCTCTTACAGGCCCGTGGCCAGATACTGGTCATCAGCTGGGCCTCTCATCACACTGGTCATTGTAGACGTCTTCATTGGTAAGACATGCTTTCAGAAGGAGGAGGCTGAGATGACTAGCTTTTGAGTTTAGGATCCTAAGCCTACTCAACACCACCTTGCCAAAGTCACAAGTCCATTCTACACTCAACTAGTGAGGAAACAGACTCCACCTCTAGTTGACAAGGGGTATAAAATATTGTCTGTGTTTTTACTCTGTCTCAGGAAGGCAGTCATAAGTTACACTGCTTAGACTTTAAATGAAGCAAAATTTGGGTCCCAAGGCAAGGGACTTTGCTCAACAACTGTAACTTTATTTTTCACAGTTTGCTAAACAGGTTGCTTTACTTTTCCTTCTACAGCCAAAGAAAGTGAAGGATCCTCTCATTAAGAAAAACAACACTTATGCTCCAACAGCAACCAGCTACACCCCTAATTTGGCCAGGGGTGACCCCGGCTTAGCCACCATTGCTAAAAGTGCAACCATAGAACCAAAAGAAGTCAAGCCTGAAACAAAACCACCAGAACCCAAGAAAACCTTTAACAGTGTCAGCAAAATTGACCGACTATCAAGAATAGCCTTCCCACTGCTATTTGGAATCTTCAACTTGGTTTATTGGGCTACCTATTTAAACAGAGAGCCTCAGCTAAAAGCCCCCACACCACATCAATAGGTTCCTTTACCCACATTCTGCTGTTCAGTCCTCTGCACTGGGAATTGCTTTCTGTTCTCAACATAGTAATTCCTATTTGCTTTATTGCCTCTGTCTTAAAGAATTTGAAGGTTTCCTTATTTCCATAAATCATATAAGAGCAAGAGACCCCTGTCTGGCAGTGAGAGCAGAGCAGAATATGCAGCTCAAAGACAGGATTCTGAGAGAGGAAACAAGAGTGCAAAATAATGTCAGAAAGAGACAGATGTGAGAGGAAAAGAGTGGGAAGAAGGTCCAAAGATATGAGGAAAAGTAGAAGAAAAATAGAGTTTATCTATAACACCTAAGTCATTTGTAGATATATATTTCCAAATACTCCAAAAAAAATACTGTATATGTCAAAAATATTTTTGTGTGAAGGCATTCCAAAGGATAAAATATAAATGTTTAATGAAGAAAATTTTAAAGCGTCTATGTCTTTTTGCACAAATGAAGGTGTGCTTTTGTTTCTGTTTTGATTTTTAAGCAAATATATAGCTTTAACATTTTGTTTGTAAAGCTAAAAATTCTCCATTCTTTCTCTTTTTTTAAAAAATTCCTAATCCTAATGCATTATTTTGTTGTTAAATGCTGTTTAAAATTCATGGAAATTTTATAGGCAAAGGTGCCATTGCTCACTGTAGAGCACATTTAATCCAATGGAGTGAAGTCTTTAAATAGGCTATTTTGCTACCACCTGAGCTTTCACCAATAGTCTATGAAGAATCAGCTTAACGGAGATGTTCACTCAGTAGAAGCTAAACATTAATTAATCAACTCGCTTTTTAAAATCCTCCTTTCCACTTAATTTCCGGATAGCACACTGGTTCCAATAATCACTCCGTTCTTACTATGAAGATGTTTTTAGAGGGGCAAAAATATTTTGCAAGCTCCAGAATTGTTGAATGTATTCTTTTAAATAACTATTTTAAAAGCTTTAGATTGAAATTTATGACGAGCAAACAAAATAGAATATATAAATTATATATGTAAATATTCAGCATGAGATTGTACATTTTTTAACTTTTTTTTTAAGTTATGTTCTTAGAACTTGTGTAGAAGTCACCACTCTTATCTGTTAGAATGTTGTTAAATGCTGTGGGAATACATTTTGAGCCTGCATTTAGGAACAGAACAGCCTGTAGGAAGCAGATGGAACTTAAAGCGTATTGAGGATGAAGTCCTCTTATGCAGAGGAAGGCTCATCATTTCAAATGTTGTCCAGTGTTCAGTAGTACATCAGTTGCTATCAGCTCAAGTCCTGCCATACCATATTTTCCTCTTTTAAGCTATTGTAATATAGAAAGACTATGGGAAGCATTAGTTGAAGCTAGGAAAAAAATCAACTGTATATTATTGCTATATTTGCTGATACCAACTATTTCAATAAGTGCTGTATCATATGTAGCATTCAATATAAAATACACAAAAGAATGTACAGGAAATAGCTTTTATTGAGTAATATTACTACATTTCATTTATACTGTAGCAATATATTTGTAGGTATACTATGTAAGGGCTTTACATAAAAGAGGTCCATTAACACTCCCTATAAAAATTCTAGTCTTTCATTATTGCCCAGACGTTTTAGAGATAAATATTTATGCAGAAGGTATTTTTGAAGCCTCCTTTGTCTGTTAGAGTTTCACAGATATTTAAATTTAGTGTCCAGAATACACAGGTCATGGTCCAAACACATTTACAATACCATGACATAAATCTTTTAGCATAATTGCCAAATAAGATAGTTGGGATCCATATCTGAGTTTTTGAGCAATGTTTTTCTCAAAAAGCTGCAATCCAATGATGTAGGAAAATACACGATATTTTCCTAAACAAACTCTGCTTTTCATTTTAAATGTGCTTCATTGTTTAATTTGGTCTGACCTAAATTTCATGAGCGAGTCCAGTAAAGACTGAGTCAAAGACATTTCATCCTCTGGTATCATATGTAGATATTATGTATAGAAAATAAAATAAATTATGGCTCTAACTTCAGTGTTGCTGTTTATCTTGTTATTTTTTCGACGCTAACCTAATGTGTTATTGAGAGCATTTTATCTTCCAGACTCCCTCGCGGCTAACTTTTGGTCTGTATTTTGCTCATTAGATGTGAATATTTCTTCTTAGTCAGCTTTCTGCTATGCAATGATGGCATTACTATCATTTCTTAGTTTGTTAGTACATGTGGGTAGTATTCTATTGTATTAACTGATTGCACAGTTATCAAAGACAAATTATTCTATGTAGCTTTTTTTACAGCGCTTTGCTAAACCATGTGATATTGATTAAGTCTTCCTTGAAAATAAAGATATACTCTTATAGAGAACAGTTCCTGTTTATGCCCAGGAATTTTTTTTAAAAGATGACACTGAATGTTTATTGCACCTTAGTGCAGTGAAGTGGCAATAAAACCTAACATGAGCCAAGGTTGTTTATGGCAGATGCATGTATTGCTTTACAGAGTTTAGCAAAAGCTCTTAATTTTATGTCATACTGTATTCTATTATAATAAAGCTAACATTATTCAATAATAAAATGAATACTTGACTTTCTTTTTATGTTATCCAAAGTTCAATCCGTTTCTATGTTTTAACACATTTTTCAGATTGGAAGTACCTAAAAGTACTAGGTGCAATCTGGCAAATCAGAAGATTTTTGACAAGATTTTTGGTATTAGCAATGTGACCCTAAACTATGACTTTCAAAGAATTGCTTAAAAATAGAAATTTAGAGCGGGCTGAGTGGCTCAAGTCGTAGAGTGCTTGGCTAGAGTTCAAATCTCAGTACCACTGGAAAAAATTAAAATTTATTAAACATCTGATATTTGGTATCACTTGCAGCATTCCAATAGTCGTAAAACATAAGATGAAAATAAAAATGCTGAAATGATAGTACAGCTCTGCCCGTTGTGTCTATTGTTGACACACAGAATTTTTTTTCTGAACTATACCCACTCTGGTTCAGTTGTTTTGGGACTGAAATCTAAGCATTGCAGCTTTAGGAGATCTCTAGGTGAACACTATTTGCAACCAAAGCTGATCATCAGTACCCTACATTGTTTATATTTAGAATATTTTTTGCTTACCAGATCTATAACCAAAACAGCAAGGTCAAGGTTTTTATAATCACCTAAAAGACAATAGAAAAATCATCCCAATGACAGGTGTAAAACTCTGCTCAGTTTCTACAGACAGGATCACATGTGGCAAAATCTTTCTGTGTCAGATGATAACTATGCCAAAACAAAGTAAGTCGTATTTTAAAAGGCATCCAACTTCCTAAGAAAACATACTTCAGAACTTTGTAAAATAACAATGTTAAGTCCTCAAAAAATATTTAATACAAAAACCCTACCCATGTAAAGCTAGCTGAACCATCATTGCTTTCTGGGCACTCCTACACAGGAATGTAGTAAACGGTGATTATTTGGCTATGAAATAAAAACTATGTCAAGACTCACCATACACAGTCAAGGGAATAAAATAAGAGAAGGCTGAGCATCACTGCCACTCATCTGTTTTAAATTCACACCCCAGTTACAACTTTATGTTGGAGTTTTCTAAAAATCTAACTTTTGTAGCCAATCAGAATGAGCATCTGACTTGACTATTATACTCACAATTCAACTAGCTCAGTTAACTTCAAATATTGATTTAATTATTATACTAAATTCTACTGACATTTCTTGAGTCCTTTCACTGTGTTAAGAAATGTGTAGATAATTGCTAAGAGAAAAATATTTCATGACCTTTGTCCTTTAGATGATGAAATACACATAGGACATCCAATATTTCATAGCAAATAAATTAGAATATTTCCTGAAATAAAAGCACAGGTGTAGGGGTTTTATACTTGGGGGAAGTCTTCATATGAAAATGTTAGTTGAGCTAGCACTTTGAAAGATAATTGAAAATTTGTCAGGCATTTTGGTGAAGGGGATAGCTGCTGGCTAAACATGATAACATGTTAATCGATCTAAAAGTCCATTAACTGATGAACATACAAAGAAAATTTACAATGTGTATATGAACAGTAGAATACTATACTTTAAAAATTAGGAAATGCTGTCATTTGTCACAATGCAAGTTACCCTGGAAGACATTATGTTAAGGCACAGGAAGATAAATATTGCATAATGTCACTCATATGTTGAACTCAAATAAATTGAATGTAGAATAATGGGTATTTGCCAAATGATACAAAATTTCAGTTAGATTGAAGGAAAAATTCAGGAGTATAGAATGGTGACTATAACTCAATAACAATGTATTTTTGAAAATTTCTAAGAGAGTAGATTACAAGAGTACTCACCATAAAAAGTGGTAATAATTTGAGGGAATACTTATGGAAATAAGTTCAATTCATTCCCACAATGGAATCATGTTTCAAAACATGTGTGCACTAAATACATACATTTTTTCAATTAAAATGTTTTGAAAAGTGTATAGCTTAAAATATTAACAATAAAACAAATCAGAATAAACAAAACAGCAAATTAAAAATGATACACTAGAGAATGTCTATTTAAGCCAAAAGTGATAATAAAACAAAGAGAAGAATGAAAAAGACACAAGACACCTAGAAAATAGATAGGTGTTACCTCACACTATATACAAAAGTGTAAATTAAATCATATATCAAAATGTAAGAGGCCAAAGTATAAAATATCTAGAAAAAAAGGTAAAATCTTCATCATTGTTGATCAATGTTTCTTGAACTTCTCCAAATCAAAGTCTGTAAGAGAATAGTCATAATAAATTGCACTTCATAAAAAAATTTTTAAATATTATGCTTCAAAAATCAACATTAAAACAATTAAGAAATATCAAGAAATCTAATCTACTGTGTGGAAGAGAATATCCATAAAAATTATATCTGACAACGGACAAATACCCAGAATATGTAAAACAAAGAAACTCACAGAAATACATAAGATCACTGACAACCCACTTTTTTTACTCAATAAATTTAGTTTTATAAATAAATCACTAGGATACATTCCTAGGAATTATAAACAGGCCATCAAGAAATAGAAGAGTGACCTCAGGTCTGACCAAGGTTCAGACCTCGACCTGAAGAGAAACTCAGAGCTTTCATGAATGTTACAGCAGAGAGTCTCTGTTGGATTTTCTCTCTGTGTATCTCTGTCTATTTCTCTCTCTCTCCTCTGTCTCTCTCACACAACTGACCAACATGCATATGAAAATGATGTTCACTATCATTAGTCATTAAAAATGAAATTAAAAGGCCCAAATGGGTGACTCAACCCTGCAATCCTAACTACTCAGGAGACAGGAATCCGGAAGATCATGTTTTGAGGCCACCCTGAACAAAAAGTGAGAGACTCCATCTCAAACAATAAAAGCTGGGTGTGGTAGTATGTGCCTACCATCCCAGCTACATGGGCAGCATAAATAGGAGAATTACAGTGCCAGCAAGACTAGCCATAAAACAATACCCTATATAAAAAATGCACAAAGCAAAAAAGGCTGGGAACATGGCTCAAGTGGTAGAGCACCTACCTAGTTAGTGCAATGCCCTGAACTCAACTTCCGGTACCACCCCAAAATGTAAATTAAATCTGCAATGATGATAGCAATTTATACCATAGAAGAGTTACAATCAAATGACAATCCATAAAATGTATTTAAGAGAATGTGGAGGAATTAGAACCCATATTAGACATTTAGAAAATGGCTTATAAATTTCTTAAATACATAGACTTTCCATAAATCTCAACAGTTCCACTACCCCTCCAAATAATACAAAGGTACAAATCCTCGCAAAGAATTGCATGTGGATAGGTATATTATTCATAATCACCTAAGACCACAAACACCACATTTACTTAATGAATAGATAGAAAGTATTATTTAGCAAAGCATTTTTAAAGGAACAAATGAGTGACACAAGCTATATGAATGAACTGAAAAATCTTATGCTATGTGAATGAAGCCAGACACAAAGGATGCATATTGTGGTCCTATTTACATGAAATGTCCTACAAAGGTAATGCCAATTACAACATCTGCTGCTGGGGTGGGAGTCAGGGCTGATTGTAATTATTCATCAGGGATATTTTTGGTACAGTGGAAACGTGTTAAAATTGCACTTTGTTCATGGCTGTACAATGTGAATTCACTAAAATTTAATAAATAACTGTTATGCTTTGTAAGTTATGCTGCAATAAAGTTGGAAAAATGACAACAGTTATTGGAAAGAATTGTGGTGGTGTCTCTGTTATCAAATGTGTGTAAGAGAATCCAGGGATAGGAGAATTCAGAATTTCAGCATTCTAGAAACCCACAGCCTGGTTGTTCTCAAATTCAAGCATGCTTTAGAGTTGCCCAGAAGGGCTTGTTAAAACAAATTGCTGGACTCAATCTGCAGAGTTTTCAATTCAATAAATCTGGGATAGTGTTCATGAATTTGCATTTCTATCAAGTCCCCAGACAATGCTGGTGCTATGGTTCAGGGTACACACTTGGAGAAATTTATACGTGGTATTAGCATTACTCACAGCCTATGTTCATGGAGTCATCTATTTTATTTCTGAATTTAAGGCAAAAATCCATGTGAATGAATATTATTGACTGGCTTTGTCTGAGCCTAGGGTCTTGGTCTTGAAATTTTGAAGACAAAGTCACAGACAACAAGAGTGAGCAAAAGTGGGGAAAGTTTATTAAGAGGGAGAAAGGGCACAGAACAGAGATCCCACAGCTGAGCTGTCCCACAGTTGAATTGTTCCACAGCTGGGAGGGGTCCCAAGACATGGTTGTAAGGAAGAAAGTTCAGACAAAGCCCCTTATCCTGATTGGTTGGAAACCATTCAGATGGCCTTCTTGGACCAACCAGGCATCTGCATGAGTTGGTTATGTTTCTTGCCCTATCAGGTCTCTGAGCATGCATCAGGCAATGACGAGGATTTTCTGAAGGACTTCAGCCATGATCCTATAGATGAGGAAGTGAGCCATGCCTCATGTACTT